GTAAGATGTACGAAAGAGGATGTAAGAAGTGTTAAGGAACTTCAAGGAATTTCTGCTTATGGACTTAGACGGACATTGGCTTGCCACGCGGGAATAATGTCCAGTCAGCAGAATAACATTGAAGGTACCTCGAAATTCTAACTTTGCAGAATCTACACTTGAGAAAGATGGGGGGACTTTGCAGATAAAAGTGTTAACCAAATGGTCTAGCAGATAAGAGGCGTGTCCATCCCCTTAGGACCCCAGCCAACGAGATCACCCACCTTGGGATAAGACGTCATTGGAGGCGGACTTACACCACCCGGGAAAGTTATGAGTTAGCATGAATAAAGGTATATAACCCAGAGACCAAATTAGTAAGGGGATTATTCTAACAGTAATTTTGGGCAGTTGTTGCCGGAGGCTATGCTAGAAGAAGCACCGACTAAGCGCCGGGCCGTNGGACAGGAGAAAGAAGAGACTAGCGACCCGCAACTGGGTGAAAAGAGAGAGAAAGATGAGGTCCAAGAACCGTCTAAGAAAGTGTAATGGTAACCCGACACCAGTCGGCTCTTTGTGATAATACTAAAATGTATATAACTGTATATTGTTTGTTTATACCAATATAGGGTATCATAGGGTGAGGATGTGGGTTTCTGTTGTTGTGATTTCCTCCCTTACCACATTTCGCACCTGCGCCCTCCTGCCAAGCCCGGTGAACAGTGTGCCCTTAGCCAGTGAAGCAACGATAGAGGAAGTAATTCAGTCGTTTCCTTAGCCCTACCCCTGTGACTGCAGTACAGAAGGTGACAGTGGGGATACCTCCACGCCCCCTGTCACCACGGCATAACACTTATAATATCTCGGCACGGCACGAGTAGAAAACACGGTTAATTGTTGTACTCCAACCGTTTCCGCGGGAATACGCCTGCCCGCGAAGGCGTCACTCAGCAACGGCTGCCTATACCCATTTATTAAGAATCTGTAACCCAGCAACGGGTCTACACGCTGCAATACAATTTGTTTGTATTCAATTAGTTTTCTCCTGCAGAGGATAAAATATATAACAAATAATTTCTGCCAATATCCGGTTACTAATGCATGTCTCACTTGAAACTGGTGCCAATATGCAAATAATACCCCGGCCAAACGGAAGGGATTTATCCTCAAAATGGAGGTCTGTCATGAAATTTCCTACCGCGAACCCTGTCTTTCCATTGACTCCTATGTTACAAGCCGCGCTCCGGTCCCGTTGATAACATTTCGGTTCAGTGCTGTAATTAAATACACGTGTCTTTGTTACGTTCCTTCTAGCGACACATGAACTAATTAACTTAGATAATTGATGTCTAACAGCTTTGTTTCATCGGATGTGATGCTGCTGAATCAACAACTGATTAATTGTAAGTTCGAATCCCGCCAGAAGCACAGACGTGTTGTATTCGTGGTCACAGGAGCAGAGGTATTCTAGCGCGAGGCAGCCCTTAGAGTTGAGGGCCAAAGCGTAATTACTAACTCGAGTTCATATGGCATTCATGTTTAATATTGTAATATGACTCCTGAAAGCCGGAATAGTGAAGTCAGAGTAGACGTACATTGCTAAGCAACGATTCGGTACTTTCCCGCGGCAACGAAAAAGCAAGTAACAATGAGGTATTATTAAAGTTCGGTGCAGCAGTGATGTGGGAACTCTGTGCCTAATTACTTAAGCACATGACTTCTACCAGGCGACTATCCGATATCCTGTATGTTTCATATTCAGCGTTCTTCCCCCGGGGGTAAAGTTGAAGGAGCTTGAAGCTCACCGCTTAACCCCATCTAAATTCTGAAATTGAGAGTGTAGCAACAATTCTGCTCCCTCTTACTTTTCCATGACTTGGGACTTAATATTTATGTTAAGGACAGGCATGAATTTGTCTGTACTTCTGAATATATTTTATAACCAAAATGAAATTTAAAAAAAAATACGAGGTGATTTTTTTTCTCCCGTGACATTGGAGTCCTTTGTACGTGCAAAGATATTTATTTCTTTTCGGGATAAGGAGGAAGACCTGGAAGCTCATTGTAAGGACTGCGCATGAAAGCCGCCATATCCTTCCAAACATAAAGACTCTTTCTGTTGTCTGTTGCCTATTTTTGAGTTCGAAAGATGGCGTTGTCGAGCATTCAGCTGAAATCCCAATTTAACAAGCTATGGTGGGACCTATGGTTCCCTGATACAACTGCGTATACTGCACATTTTAAGCTCATAAAACAGGTCCGCGCCATAGCTCAAGCGGTTAGTCGCTGGCTTCTCACAGCGGCGGCCCGGGTTCGATCCGGGGTCTGGTCAAGTGGGATTTGTTGTGGACAAAGTGTCACTGGGGCAAGTTTTCTCCGAGTACTTCGGTTTCCCTTACCAGTTCTCATTACACCGACTGCTCCACTTTCATCTGTCATCCGGAGTGGGTACAATGGGCTAAACAGTGGCAGGGCGGTCTAAGGTATGAACTGTCTTCGCTCCCTCGAACGCTAGTATCATGGGTTTGAATCTCATTCAAGGCATGGATGTCTGTGTGCGTTTATTCTGCTTGTATTGTTCTGTGTATAGGTAGCGGCCTAGCGACGGGCTCAGCCCCCATCCAAGGAGTCTTACAAACTGTGTAAAAGATCAAAGAAATTGAAAAAAACGGCCAAGGTCCGAAGGGCTTTTTTATTGCTAGTGGGGTGGGACTAAGTCCCTTGTACTGCGGCCAATTCTGGCCTATTGTACCAGACCCAGATGCTACGTGAGGGTGATTGTGGAGCAATTGGTGGAATGAAGATTGGCAGGGGAAACCGAAGTACTCGGAGAAAACCTGCCCCAACGCCATTTTGTCCACCACAAATCCCACTTGACCAGACACAGGATCGAACCCGGGCCGCCGCTGTGGGAAGCCAGCGACTAACCGCTTGAGCCATGGCGCGGCCTACTCCGAAGGGCTTTAGTGCCATAGAAAGGAAGAGGGACCGACTTACCAGATAGAGTCAGTCTCACCCCAACTCAAAAACTAAAAGAACACTGAAAATGAGTCAGTGCAAAATCTTATGTTCCTGGTACAGGCATGTAGTTATCAACTAACAAGTTAGGAAACGTGCGCATAAAGTAGAAAGTCTGGCGTGTTCCCCTCTCTTTTTTAATTAGCTCGAAATTCATTAAACGTGCTGAAATAGTTTGTTGGTCATAAAACATGTGTTTTATTTGTACGTACTAAGTTTATCTGAAAAAAATTCTCTTGAAATAAATATTTGGCGAGTTACAGTTTGAGATACGTGTATACCGGTATGTAGGTCTTCCCGCCAAGGCGTTGGTTATAGTTAACTATCTCTATGGAGTTGAGAACCTGAGAGTTGTCCAGCCATTCAAGAAATTTGTAGAATTTTATGGAACTCGANACGGTAGAACTCCTTGGGCGAGCGATCAGCTCGTCGCAAGGCCTCTACCTGTACACAAACACAGAAAAACGCACACAAACATCCATGCCCTGACTGGGATTCGAACCCACGATCCCGGCTTCCGAGCAAGCGAAGACAGTGCATGCCTTAGACCGCTCGGCTACCGTGACCGGCCCTCATTTTGATATTACCCTGGTATATATCCCTAAATCTTCATGTCGTATTATTTCTGCAGAATTTCCTACTAGAACTTGGTATGCATTTCTGTTATTTCCAGTTCTCCACGTCGTCCAGACCGGCTCGTCCATCTTCCTATTCAATGGGTATCAGGGGCTCTTTCCCAGAGTAAAGCGGTAGGGGCGTGAAACTGACCACTCACCTCCAGCTAGTGCCGAGGTCAAGAAAACCCGGTCTACATATCCACTCCCTCATACGCCTTCAGGGCGCAGTACTTAATTAGTTAAGCATAGGGACAACTTTACCAACTTTTACATGCCTGACCCATATGGTTCCACTTGGTCTGCAATTGAGGTAATATTTCTCGTGAAATATAAATTATGTATCTCCTCCCTGTTCAGAAAGTGTTTTTTATTTATGTTCGAATGTTCTTGAAATTGAAATATGGTTATTACAGCTTCGACCTGATCATTGGATTATTGTATGTTGCAGGTGATGTTTAGCGTGTTATATGTTCGAAGTTATCATTATCGTATTTCTTATTGCAGATGAACATTATTGTATTATTACAGGTGATCACTAATGCCTCTGTGGTCTAGTGGTCAGAGTTCCTGGTTACTGATCCAGAGGTCCGGGTTCGATTCCCGGCGCTAGCAGATTTTCTGAGAAGTAATGGGTCTGGAAAGGGTGTCCACTCAGTCTCGTCAGGATTCATTCATTCATTATTGGAGGGAGTGGGTTTCCCCATGCCCCGCGACCAGTAGTTGATCTATTGTACGTCCCCCTTTGATATTGTAACGTGTCTGGAATCCAGAAGAGTTACTTCCATGGAAACGCTAGAATAGTCAGTCTGGAATTAGCCTCCATAGAACACCAGTCGCCATACCTTTCCGGTACCGGTGCTCGCTATCAGCCCCGTTCAGCCAGCGAGTTCGGCCCCTCTACTGGCAGTGGTACCTCGATACTTCCCCATATACCGGAGGCATTGGAAACTACTTGGGCGGGAAACTTTGTACCTAATTTTACTCAGAGGTCTCCTAGAGACATGAGGATCTTTTACGTGCCGTAAATCTACGACACGGGACCCACGGCTTAAAGTCCCTCCCGGAGGACTTGTTCCCTGAAATTTTCCGCCCTTAAAAATTCCACGAATTCCACCGGGTTTGAACCCGCGTACCTTGAGTCATGAGGTGGAAACGTTACCCCTAGAGCTATTTCAAGGAAGCAGCGGCTCCGGTCTAGAAAACTGAGATTAACGGCCGTGCGCTGACCACGCGACATCCTCTATCCGCTAAAGTTGGCACTAACTTCGCCGACAAGAGGCTGTCGCTCAGTGGGTATAGTTCGCTTGCGGACTACAGGCCACGGAGTTTGTTTGATCATTAAGAGTTATTTGTTGCAGGTGATGATTATCGTATTGTTTGTTGCAGGTGATCAAGATGCTTGTCATTGTGGTGGCCTTGTTCGCCATTTGCTGGCTGCCTCTGCAGACCTACAACGTCCTACAGTACATCTACCCTGAAATCAACAAGTACGTATTATGTAAATAGCATAGCGCGGAAAGAAACTGGGCTGACGTCACGAGTCTGGGTTATGCGTATATTGCGCCGTCTGCGAATGAATACTGTAGCTCGCCAAGCAGCGTGCAGTTGACAGTGCCATCTGCCACAGGAGGAAAGAACACAATACAAGGGATGTATCTTCCTGTCTTCAAAACACAGGCAGTAATAGTGGTCTTACTTTGTACAATTATGTTATTAAAGGTAAAGTTGTCCCTGTGCTTAACTAATTAAACACCATGAAGGCGTATGGGGGAGTGGATGGATAGCGTAGTCGGTACAGCGACTGGCTATGGGCTGGACGACTAAGAGGCTGGCGTTCGAGTCCCGGTAGCGTCAAGAATTTTTTCTTCTCCACGTCGTCGAGACCGGCTCATTGGACCATCCATCCTCCTATCCAATGGGTATCAGGGGCTCTTACCCAGGATAAAGTGGGAGGGGCGTGAAACTGACCACTCAACTCCAGCTAGTGCCGAGGTTAACAAAATGTGTATCTATACATCCAATTACGTTATTAAAGCTTCTTATATTCAGTCCGAGATTACAGGTTCTCAAAATCGCGGATCTGGTAGAAACACACCAATTTGTCAACTAATCTTGTTCATTCCATCATCAGGGTAGAACACGAAATGGTAGGTTCCTCCTGAACGTTGGTAACCTTCTACCAATCTACACGGCGTTAGATCTCAGAAGACATTAATCTTTAATTAAATATTTTTGTTTTACAAATTGTTAAATTATACATTGAAAGTTATACGTAGGATTATTTGGTCTTTGGGCTTATAGAATATGCTTAGATCCATTGCCCATGGATAATATTCGGTGCTTATTTCTGNGAGGTCGGCCCTCGGTACCTGATGTCACCCATCTACCAGAGGCATTGGAAACTACTTGGGCGGGAAATGTGTTGCCTAATTTTGCTCAGAGGATCTTTTACGTGCCGTAAATCTACGACACGGGACCCACGGCTTAAAGTCCCTCCCGGAGGACTTGTTTCCTGAATTTTTCCGCCCTTAAAAATCCACGACCTCCGCCGGGTTTGAACTCGCGCACCTTGATTCATGAGGTGGGAACGTTACCCCTAGACTACGGAGGCCGCTATACAATTATGCTAACTGCAATTGCGCTACGATGCGCCAAACCGCCGATACAAATGTGTGGAGTAGGCACCTCATCGTCCCATGCATTATTACCTCAGCGTTTCACTCTTAACTGATAGACTATCCCCAAAATGTTGAATTCAGGTTCATGAGGAGCACAGCTTCTCGTAGAGATATGAAAACTTTCTCTAAAAATTACGAAAAAATAGATCATTAAATCTTGGATGCTAACGGCAGTGAATATGAAGAGTGTTTCTGTGACGTAACGTCGTGTAGCGTGTAAGAAATTCAACGATGTTTCGGAGGAATGTGCTACTTCAAAGCCTGAGGTTTGAGGCACAGGCCATTCAAGCGAGCAAGAAACAGTAGACTACAAAGTATAACATCCCAAAAGAGAGAATTTATACGGGGAAAATGAACCTTCGGGTTCCATAAATTGATGGGAAATTCTTGAGTAGCTGCAGAATTGGCGGCTCCTCCAGAAGGGCTCAGCTCATGAGTAAGTAAGTAAGTAAGTAAGTAAGTAAGTAAATGTTTTCTGTAATGTACAGCAGAATCTTTCATTTTCTGGTCTCCTGCTTAAAGCCGTATCAAGTAGAGCTGAACACTCTGCCTACTGGTCACCTGCTCGATAGTGAAGATGGAGACAGTTCGTTTCTCCGAAACGTCATTAAATTTTTACGAGTTTACACGGCGTCACATCGCTGAAAAATATTATTTATGTGAAATTTCGCTACAAAATATAAATTTTATCTGTTATTCCTTGCGTAATGCATAGCTCATTTAGCAATGCTGTATCAGTATCAGAAGATATTTATAGTGGGATTAAGCGAGAGGACGATTACAATAGGTGAACTGGTCAGCATCGCGGAACAAGCGATCGCCACAGTGTTCAGTTTGTAAAGCACTGAGGGAAGGCATACAAATTTTGATTCAGGATACGAGGATCACCATTTGAGAGTCAAACATAGCAGGTACTGCATACAGGTCGACCGCCTCTGTGATCCAGTGGTCAGAGTTCCTGGCGACATATCCAGAGCTCCCGGGTTCGATTCCCTGCGTTAACAGATTTTTCTGATAAGTAGTGGGTTCGGAACGGGGTCCACTCAACCTCGTGAAGATAATTAAGGAGCTATTTCAAGGAAATAGGGGCTCTGGTCTAGAAAACCTAGATTAAAGGCAGTGGGGATCCGTTGCGGTGACCACGTGACACCCTCTATCCACTAAAGTTGGCACTAACTTCGCCGACAAGCGGCGGTCGCTCGGTCGATATAGTTCGCTTGCGGACTACAGGCCACGGAGTTTGTTTTGTTTTTGAATACAGGTCAGTCACATAACCGTTCGAACCAAGCTGTCCAGTACATCATCCATAGAAGTGAAGTCAGTAACGACATGGGAAATCCATCTTGAAAATTTGATAGTCCCACAGTTAGTTAATAAATTCCCTCCCTTTCATGGAATATGAAGACTTATATACCACATTCGCAAGAAGCTGCCACTGACTCATACCTTGAGGCAGCTGGTGACAGTTCAGAACCTAATTATCAGATTTCTTACAGTTTACTTTAATATTATCCTCTCATCCATTCTAGTATCTTGCAAATGGTATCGTACCTCAGTGGTTCTGACTACAGTTGGGTCGAAGTAACATCAACTGAAATTTTACGCAGTTACTTCTTGTGAATAAAACTCAGTTGTATACAAAATGGGCAGTGTTTCACAATTGTTTAATATCTTTGATTAAGTTGTATGCACGCTACTGCCGATTTCTGATGATTTAGGGACTTCATTATTGTTATTCAGATGTTACAGAACCTTAATTTTGCTTTTTTTTTCAGGTACCGTTATATCAACATAATTTGGTTTTGCTGTGATTGGCTTGCAATGAGCAACAGCTGTTACAATCCATTCATCTATGGCATTTACAACGTAAGTATGTTATATACACGTGGAATCTCTGTTTAGCCATATGCTGGATAAGAAAATTTATACTTTTCCTCGTATTAACCAGAAATAGTGTTAAAATATCAGATTAGAAACATGTAACTTAATTCTAGACATGGTTTTACACCAAAATGGGAGAAAGATATAAAAATAGATCTCAGAGAAATGTGATAAGGGATGTAGATTGGATTCATGTGGCTCAAAATAGGGGCACGTGTCGGGCTCTTTTTAACAAGGTAATACATTTTCAGGAACCATAAAATGTCGCAAAATTCTTGAATAGCTGAGGGTCTGTTGGCTTCGCAAGAAAGACCTGTCTCCATGGAGTAAGTTGGTTAGTCAGTTCGTTTTATACCAAACTTAACGAAATTTCTTTTTCTTCTCTTTTTATCCATTTCGTTTTGAGCTTGAGATTTCATTTATCATTTTTTATCAAAATTAAGCCATACGACTAGGCCTAAATATTCACTCAATTTGTCGAAAATATATTAAATCTCTCGATTTCGTTCTAACAACAGGTACCCAATTTTCTGATTCTGCGGAGAACTTTTCTTTGTAAGCTGGTCACTCACTTTTACGAGTACAGAACCGTGCTGTTAATTACCGCGTTCACAACAACCATACACTGGACCGTATCATGGGCGAATTGAATCCAACCCAGATTGTCACATTTTTTAAATACATTTTAATATTATCTTTTGATGTATGCCTGCATTTCCCAAGTAGTCTTCTCCCTACAGATTTTCCGATTTAAGCCTTATGTTCAACTACCATCTGACCCCTACAAACAACATGTTCTTACTATCTCATTACTGTCTGCTGAGGCATGGCGCCGTATTGTGTGGTAAATATTTTGTAATGTTTTAAGGAAAACTTTTGCAGTTAGCTTCAGGGTAGAAGAGTTAGCTAAGCATGAAAATCTGGCATGGCTGCCGGGTAAGAGTGGGCAAATAGGGCTAAAGGAACGGAGGAAAAAAGCACGTGTTTTTTAAGGGAAAAATAACATGGTACAGGGAGCGAAAAAATTATAGCCCTTAGTAAATTAGAAGCAAGAAAAATAGAACAAGAACACGGGGTTCTTTGTAGGTTCTTTTTGAAAGACAGAGGGTAAAAATGTTAATCGGTATAAGTGTATTTGTTTCTGTCAAATGTTAAATTAATATTATGATTGGCATAAGGGGCAAAGCACCAAGTGGAACTGATTCAGAGAGAGCGGTCCCTGGTCTCTCTCGTTCTCTCCATGTCTGTACCGTTTTTTCTATGCTTGGCTTACTCATCTACACTAAAAAATGGGCCTTCAAAACGCTGACAGTGATCTACCATTCTACATGTCAAATATCAGAAGAAAGTAAGTTTAATAATCACTGCTGTGAGAAATTTGACTCGTTTCTCCTGGTCCGTCACACTAGCAATAATATAAAAGATTATTAACGTCGTCCAGTGTGACTGAGTTTTTAATTTTAGTTTTTAGTTTCCACATATATTGATATGTCCTCCTGAAAATGGTCGCTCCAACTGAAACATTAAAAAAATCAATCACACTGGACGCTGTTAATAATATTTTATACTGTTGTGAGAAGTTAAATTAGTTTCATTTTCTTTCACTTGGTTTGATCAATCTAATAACATACAGCGAAAGATAAAACATAAAAAGGTTTAGTACGTATGCAGAAACAGTATCCTCCAATGAAGAGAAGGTGAAGCAAGTGGTGAGTAGGAGTGGCAGACCTTGATATTTATGCTGTTTTTTTGGGGGGGGGGGACATTGGGCTTTATTTTACAACAGAAACTGTAAGAATTCTCCAAAAATCATACCGATGTTTTCAGGTTACGTAATACATATACTCCCGCCTTGTTAATTGCCTCACCTCCTCTACACTGGGGAATAGTCAGTGGAACTGATACCATAAACCCAGCTTGAACGAATCAATAAAACTTGAATATAAAATTCTCAGAATTAAATATATTGCTGTGCGTGTCTTTATTCACAGGAGAAATTCAAGCGTGAATTTCAACAACGATGTCCATTTAAGTCGCGTTCCTGGTCTACTCATTCTCACACAATCGATAGCGACTTCGATAAATCGCAGACATCGCAGACCCGTGCTTCAGTCCGCTTGTCTTACTACAGCAACCATAGCAACAGTTATGACTGGCGTCGCTCCTATTCCACCAGAGCGCAGCAGCATGTCACCCTTCTGTCACAGAATAACGCCTTTTACCGTGGGGTCTCCATTCGTGGACCAATCGGAAGGCACAATACAAGCAACAGTTGTGGTCTGACTACTGAATTATGTGTCTCTCCAGAGAAACATCAGAAAAATGGTAACAGTTCTGATATGGATGAACTGTGTTTATAGATTTGTGGAAATGGATTCACATGATTTCATTCATTCATTCATCAAGAGACTGGAGTAAAGTTAAATATGCTTTACTACAAAGTGGACACATTAGATACTTATCAAATTTTTGAACGATGTTGAATCTGAAAAACTTTTGATTTCCTGACACTAGAAGAACATTTTAAAGAACAAGGAACTGTGCAGTTTTCTTCTAAAATCAATTTAAACGATGCATGTGTAATGTGTACTCTTACATAACCTGTTGGAATATTAAGAAGAAGTGTATCAATAAAACAATTTTTGTGCATGCTCAAATTGTTCTTGCATATAAAAACAAACTTCATAAAAATATATGACCTTAAATAAAGGCAGGAATCCATTTTAATATAAAATGTAAAAATACCTGAACAACATGGGTATTAAGATAACTGAACTCCTTACCTTACCGATGATGTTAGCATATAATCCAGTGTTATCTATAGCCGCCATCTTCTTGACCCATTGCCATCAACTGCTACCAACTCATAACTAAGATAATGGTAAGTATTTATTGTGATTTTGTCCCGTTTGTAACTACAACCAAAAGCGGCCTCCGTAGTCTAGAGGTAACGTTCCCACCTCATGACTCGTGGTACGCGGGTTCAAATACCCGGCGGAGGTCGTCGAATTTTTAAGGGCGGAAAAATTCAGGGAACAAGTCCTCCGGGAGGGACTTTAAGCTGTGTGTCCCGTGTCGTAACTTTACGGCACGTAAAAGAACCT